CAAGGTCATGTATGTACTGTTCAGATTCGGTCTTCTGGCCGTGCTTACAAAGGTTTTTGAGCTGTTTGCTTTGAATTTGTGCTTTGTGCTTGTGCGTTCATATTCAGAACATGCGGTTCGTTTTCTCAAGTGATTTAAATTTCTCTCACATGACTTAAAACATGGCGAAATTCAAAAGGCTTCTTTGGCGATTCCTGTGTGTAACTTTTTTAATTTGTGGATACCATATGAAGCAAAAACAACTAAAGTACACGCTTCAGAATCAGACTCAGATTCAGAACAACAAAAATCAGACACTTAAACACAAGTATCAGACGAAAATTAAACATTTTAACTAATGATTAACCATGCTTAATTAATTTGTATAATATTCTTTATATGTGCACATCATTTGTACTTTTTTTAATTAGTTTTTTGAATAAAAGAAGTGTTTGTTTGTCTTTAAAATTGATAATTATTTCAACAGATCTACAAAACACAATAAATTCAAAGCAAACAGCTCAAAAACCTTTGTAAGCACGGCCAGAAGACCGAATCTGAACAGTACATACATGACCTTGCTAGATTTTTCTTAAATATCTAGTACAAATAAATGTTGAATGGAAATATAAAAATACGTAGGTTTTATAGAAAATAGCTCAAAATCCCCTAAAAACCCTTTAAAGTACGTTTTACAGGTATGGAAATACTCAATAGTACTTGATTGACATTAGTCCTCTAAAATACTTCAATAAATATTCTGGAAAACAGTCTCTAAAATATAAAGTCCGTAAAGGTTTTCTAGAATACCTCTGAAAAACCCTAAAATTAGGCGTCATGTATTGTGACCTTATACGTGTGTAAGCCGTGCTTTTTAGATACGAGTGCAGAAAAAGCCAAAGTTTTGTCGTAGAGCGCTTGGTCTCTGTGAAAGGTTTTTCAGAAACCTCGGGTTTTCCGTAAAAATCAATGTTTCTTTAATATCTCAGAAATAGCTTGATCCTTCCAGCTCGTTCACATCTCATATGAAAGAGAAATGTTTGGTCTACAAAATCACTGCAAAAAGGTACAGTGATAGGTAATATCCTTGGTGACCACAAGGCAAAAACTGGAAAAATCGCTTTTTCTCAAAGATGCTTTTTTTTAATATTTTGGATCTAGAAATCGCGAGTCCACCGATGTCATATTCATAACCTGCGTATGATTCCCCGTATGAAACTGACTCTAGAAAAAAAATATTATTTAGAGTCTGATTCTATATCATATGGCCAAAGCAAAAATTCATAATCAACTAATTTGGCAAAACTTTTGCAAACCTACTTAGCTTTTCTGTTAACGGACGGAGCCGTGATTTACACCGTATTCAATTCGTCTTTACACGCACAAATAAAGTACGCAGAACTTTTCTTAAAATTCCTTTCCACTGTTGAGAAAATTCATTTTTTCTGAATAAGACGCGAAAAATTTGCAACTGTGCCCATAATTCTCAATTTTCTTTATCGGAACTCAAGTTTTATGCAATAAAACTATCATGTTCGGAATCAGAATCTTTTTTAAGGGTATCTTCCTTGTTTTTTGACCCCTTTTAAGCAGGGGGAGCCGATTTCGGATCGAGGCGAAATCTATATCGGAGATAAGACATTGAAAAAAAAATGGATGTATTTTTGTGCAGAATTTTCTGACGTGCTCTTCTATAGGTTTTCTAGAAAACTTCACTTTTCATCAGGTCACATAACGACCCCTTGAAAAAATGGTCCGATCGAGCTCACATTTTTACCACAGAAACTTTAGACCTTATCTCAGGATGTAAACTGTTCTTTTCAGAAAATATGCTTTCCTTCTCGAGATATTCGAAAAATACTAGAAATCCTGTATAAAAAGACGGTTTTTTATTTTAAAAACCTTCTCATGCCAAAAATTGAAATCGAAAACGCTTAAGAAAAATTTACATCCTGCAATAGGACCTAAGGTATCAGAGATAAAAGTTTAAAGTTTAAAGGGGCGCCACTAATTCAAAAATTCAACACATTCTTTTCTGGCTGAAACACACATCATCAGATAGATCTAGTGATGCTGATAACGAATATGATTTTTTTTCAAAATTTTGATAAAGTCTTCGGGTAGAAAATGATACGGGGAAGAGTGCAAAATTCCTAAAATTTCGGCGCTCATATAGAGCCCGATTTTCAAGTTTAGACATGTAATAAGTGATAAGGCTCTAGACAACAGTTCTAGATTCGTTTTTATATAAAAAATTCGAAAAACACAACGATGAGAGCAAAAAGTGCGAAAGAAAAAAGTTAAGAGTGTTTTTTGAAAACGAAAACATTTTAGAGATTTTGGTAGAAGGATTTCAGCCAGAAAAAAAAATGTGCTGAAACTTTTGAATTAGTGGCGCCTCACACTAGGTTCTGTTTTCAGGGCATTTGCAGTGATACTTATGTCTTCATGAAAATTTATTGGAAAAATCTGGAAAATGTCTCACTTTGAAGAGTACACTTCCTTCTATCGTGTAAGAAAAAATTTTGAACATATAGGAATGGAGAGAAAAAGTTACGAACCTAAAAGAATTGAGATTTTCGAGGCTTTGAAGTAAAAACTTTTCGGTAAAAAGAGGGTACTCTTAGTATACCGCAGTTCCTTAATAAGACAGCCTAAGAGCAAAATTAAGTTTCACTTTTTTAACGTCTTTAGATAGCTCAGACCGACTTCTGTCGACATTTACATACGGCTAAGGTATTGAACCTCTAGCATTTTGAAGATAAAGCAATTGTTTTAGGACATACATACCTTCCTATTCTCAAATTCAGCAATCTTCAAAATAAAATAAAAACATAGATCTTAGACGCCAAATCTCATGACAACATAAAATAATCCATTTTAGGCAATTTTTACTGAAAATCACTCTAAATTACTTGCAATTATCAAAAGATATAGTCAACTTTTCTGTGCTGTACTTTAGAATTAAAGAATTTTTAAAATTGTTTAGAGATACAGAAAGTACTTTGGCTTTCAAAACAATTCTGTAGACATCTTCGAAAACCAGAAATTAGTCTTATTGTGGCATGAATACAAAATTAGATAGAGCATATGTAAACTTACCATTCCAGTGAAAACTGTCCAAAATAAATGACTTAATACAGCTTTTTATTACGGGATTTTTTAATTTTTTTGTCACAAGATTTAGAATGGTTGATGATCTATATTTTCATTTACTTTAAAGATTCTATCGATTTTTATCCAGAAGTAGTTCAAAGAACAATCGATGGTATAAACCGATAGTGATACGTCTCACGTTTTAAAATCGAACTATTTTTTTTTACTTTGTTATTTCTCACATACCATCACTGTAATAGCATACCAATTATCAATTATATCTCCGGTAACAACAATTATGCAATCACTGGATAAGGTTATATTGGAAGGTAAAGAGTAATTTCCTCCACCAACAGTTGGAAAAACAAGACCACATTCCGTTGCACCTTCTGACCATCGACATCGTACATTATCACCATTTGCATCTGACACGGGTATTGGAATAGTTTGTGGAACATTTTGTGGAATATTTATTGGAGACATTACAGTTGCAACAGGTGCAGTATTATAATATCCATCTGTCCTAAGATATAAATTGATATTAGTCGATAGACACCATTGATATGTAGCATCAGTTATAGTCGGTAATGGACGCCAACCATTATCTGTATAACCAACAGTAAAATTATCATTTAAATATAACCATTCTATATCTGATCGTTGACCAACTACGGTACCAACAAGTGTACTTTGATCTGTGCATATAGGCCGAATAAGTGGAGGAATGTATCCACTACTTGTAGATCCACAATTACTTAAACACTTTAATGTATCCGTTGCTAATGTAGAATAAGTTCGATAATTAATTAAATTACTATTAGCTATTGCCGTCGGTGTACAAACAATTCTTCCATCTGTCCATGAATATGTTTGGATAATGATAATTTTTACTGGATTACCCGATGCACTTATATTTTCTGGACGCCATGTTATTGTTCCACCGAGAAAATGAAAAGCAGCTACTTGATATGTAAATAAAATAACAAAACTGATTAAAGTGACAAGCATTGTCTCTCGTCGGTATTTAATCATCAAATAAGTACAAGAATAAATTTATTTTATTAAAAAATATTATTTCTGCATATATATAATCATAATCTTTTTCTCAATTGTGATAGAATAAATAATCACATATATGTCAATATAAAATTTAGGGTTTCATTGCTTATTTAATTGCAATTGACAAAAAAAAACAACTGATATGAAGTTGTATTTTGTTCTTTTAATTTACATATTTTAGTCAGAACAAATGAATTAATATATAAGAAGATAATATATACAGTTTATTCTGCTCTTAATTAGTACGCATTGAAATGTTTGACGGGAGACTGTCTGTAGAAAGTCGATATTTATAGATTTAAATAAAAACTTTACTATGTGATCGGATATCATCAAAAGTACCGAAAATATTGTTAAAAATTTCTAAAGACGTCTCTTAGTGTTGAATCTCGTCTATTTCACGTACGATACTGTTCAATCGATATCAGTTACAGTGTTTCTCTTCTACAACGAGCTATGATACTAGTGACTGTGCTCCTTTATCACCCACAGGTATGTACTATTTCTATATTGAAAGCTTTTCTGAATATGCCATCTCGTCCAGCTTGAAGAATTAATCGTTTTTCATAATAGGTACGTCACTTAACATTCTAACGATGTATTTGTAACGGAGCATCGGGTGTTGAAAATGTTTACTATTTTCTTCGAAAATTTTGCTGTGTTTTTGATCAATATTGTTGCAATGAAGTTAAATTAGAGCCATGAGTAAACCAGCTGATTATAGATTCTTGGTTGATTTCGGCTTTAACCCGTTCAGTCCCGATATTTATTTAAACAGACATGAGCTAAATTTATTTATAAGTCGTGAACGACGTAAGATATTTATGTGTGATTTTCAACATTTGATAGCCAATACTTTAAACTATGTTCTTATAAGGAAAAATTGGTTTTCAGAAAAATTCGGATTTTTTTTCGAAAAAAAGGTCGAATTTTCAAAGGGATTTTCAAAGGGTCTCTGAAAAACCACTTCGTATCTCTCAAAACTTCAACAGCAACCTATCGATTTTTTTCCATGCCTAGATGGTCCAACGTGTCCTGTTTAAAATGGGAATTAAGCGAACTCTTGGTTTTTAAAACCTTTTCGACAATCAGCGTATTTTCTGTTTCTTTTTAAACTATTATTGAACTGCATGGTGTTGAGGAGGTAAAATAGAGTACATCTTGATACTCGAACATAATTTCACTAGGTTTCTGGAACTATTTTGAAAAACAAATGCTGTCAGAAGATTCACCGTAGTCGATTACCTATGTTTCCATTCGTTTTTGAGATTACCACATCTAAAGAAATATTGACCTGGGGGCTTCGAGAAAATCCGATGCCACGCCTAAACTACAGAAAACTTAGAGTTCGCTTAATTCCCATTTTAAACAGAACACTTTGGATTATCTAAGTATGAAAAAAAAATCAATAGGTTGCTGCTTTAGTTTTGAGAGATATCAAGTGGTTTTCCAGACATCTTTTGGAAATCCGATCTTTGTAATTTTGTCGAAACCAATTTTTGCTTATGAAAACATAGCTTAAAGTATTGGCTATCGAATGTTCGCATGTTAATATCTTGTGTCGTCCACAACTTATAAATAAATTTAATTCATGTCTGTTTAAACAAACATCGAAAATGAACGGGTTAATTCATGAACTAATACAAGACTCGTACACAAAACAGACTTGAGACAAAAAAGAGATTAACACTTGTGTTGACGAAGATGGTCTTTATTCCAGCGTTCTTTCAGCTTAACAACAGGCGTATTAGATCAAAAAGTTGAGCCTTGTTTCATAATGCAGCACTAAACCTAACTTAATGAAATCTAGGGTTTAGAGGTTTCAAACCATCTAGTCGTGATGTTGAAATGGTTTGAAAAAATCGAAAAATAAGACTTTCAGAAAAACATGTTTTGTCGAAACTTCTTTTTTAATAAAACTTTTTCCTGATGTTATTTTTAAGTTAAAAATTTTTTAATAACTGTATTTTGTAAAGAAATGTTTCAACGATATTTAAAAAAAAAATTATCAAAAAATTTCTTTTCCTTACTATTAAATTGAAATTTTAAAATCTAAAAGTTCAACATTTTTAAAAACAAAATTTTTCAATTTTTTTCATAGCAACGGATACGTTAGAATACACCATTAAATAGCGCGTGAAAAACTGAACAAACGTAGGAGTTTGGGAGATTTCAAAAATGAATGTAACAGGGTTTTTGAAAGATTTTCTGGAAATCTTCAACAATGTTTGGTTCTTTCAACATTTTTCATTTGCTTTTAATTAATTTTTGATTCCGATTCAGATTAATATTTTTGATAGTATAACACAAAAACAGTTTTGTCATTTGAATAGGTTTTAAGGAGATTTTCAAGGGGTTTTAATCTATTTTTAAGATGCCAATAATTCTATAAATAATTCTATTATTTTTTTCATATTCTCGTCGAGCTGGTTAAGAAAACATATTTTTTAAAGTTTCAAAAAATTTTCGTCGTATCGTAAAATCAAAAAGACTCAGAACCACTTAAAACTGGAAAAATGACTGAATATTCGAAAAATTCAAATTTCGGTCAAATTTTTTTCTTTTTTAGTTTCTGTAGTATTTTTCTCTGATTCAGCATTAAAAGCTACAATTAATATAGTGTTTTACTTATTTCGAAGTTAATGACCTATTTATGACGGACGTCCTAATCCAGACCTCTAAACTTCGGACACGTCATTTTGCGAACCCATCTAGTTTTTTGTGTTAATGGCTGAAACTATCGTCTGCATCGCACTATATTCGGTGAAGTGTCCGCTTCAAAAGTATAATTCGTTTCTTTTCAAATTTTGTTTCGTTGATGAGAAAATTCATTTTTTTCTAAGTCAGAGGCAAAAACGTCTGAATTCTGCCTGTAATTCTCAATTTTCTCCATTAGAACTCAACTTCTATGTAATAAAAATATCATATTCAGAATCAGGATCAAAAGACAAATCGACTGATGTGTTTCGTTATCCTACCCGAGTACTTTTTTTTCGAGATTTTCATTAAAAAATGAAAATGAACTAAAAATGTCAATATACACATCAGTCGATTTGTCTTTTGATCCTGATTCCGAATATGCTATTTTTATTACATAGAAGTTGAGTTCTGATGAAGAAAATTGAGAATTACAGGCAGAATTCAGACGTTTTCCCCTCTGACTCATCAACGAAACAAAATTCGAAAAGAAACGAATTATACTTTTGAAGCCGACACTTCAGCGAATATAATGGGATGGAAATCTTTTCAACATCACCACTAGAAAGGCCATGGTGTGAAACCTCTAAACTCCAGCTTTGATTAACTTTAGTTTAGTAGTTTCGGAGCTAGGTTTAGTGTATAACACGCGTATTATTACAAAAGTACACTTGTTTTAGAATAAATTTTTCCTTTCCTTAATTGATTTCTCTCGCAGTTTTTCGCACATCCCAAAAAGAATTTAGGCTTTTTCAACTGGTTCGCAATGGGTAGGGTTGTTGGCCGTAGTTTTTCGAGAAAAAACTTAGCACTGAGAAGAAACAGATCTGCTAAACAAATGAATTTTGATGTTTTTTTGCCTTTGACTTTTTATTTCTTACAGTTAGCAAGAGAAGCAGTTGTCGCCGTTCGACAGTTCTACTTTTCGACAGTCAGTTTTCGATACTGTCGAATTTTCGAGAGAAAAAAACCCCCACACTACACTTTCACGTCTTTACGCTTTTCAATGGAAATTCCACAAGCTTTCGACAGTGTCGAATTTAGACCGAAAATTTTCGACACTGACGAATTTTTAGTCTGTCAGAAATTTTTTCACTCGAAATTCGAGACTGTCGAAAACTGTTTCGGTCGAACTGCGAAATTACCGCAAGGGAACCTCAAAAAATTTATAAAAAGTGTATTTTAAAGGTCATGGGATCATTTAACATATGTTCGCATCATACGCAACAACTGCCCACTATGCAGGAGTAGTAGAAACATATAATGTTGCTGATTTATAAATATTACAATATATTTTTCAGAGAATTGCAAACAAATGAAACGATTGTGCCAGATAGAGAAAAAATCGACAAGTGATCTATACACGAAGAAAACAGGTGCTCACACGGAATTGTACGTGCGAATGGGGTGGTTTTCAAATATTTTCTGATATATTACCATCTTTTAGAAAAACTTCACTCGGAATCTCAACGGCTTGTCCACGTAACGCGACACTTCGCTGATCAACCTTTTTTCAATTTTTTTCATCGGAAAATGAATAAGAGCACATTACTAGACGTAGTTTTTCACGAATCTGACTTTGTTTTTGAAGAAAAAATTGACGTTCAATATAAAATTTTAATTTTACTTTTTCGACATAGATATTTTGTTCAACAAATTTCAAAAACATACCATTGAATAGAGAATTCAATTCTCTACAAAATAGCTCATTTTGTTTTGGGATGTATTTTTCAGTCGAGACACAGTGGTGGCTTGAACGTAATTTATAATATAAGCCCGGGCTTATATTACAAATTATTATAAAGAGATTTTTTTATTACTGATGAGTTTTATTTTTAAAATAAAGCAAAACGCATCCAATATTAATTTATCTGCATTTGAATAAGCATTTTACACAAACAAGCGTTTAAATCAAAAGAGTGTCGAAGCGTTTTCTGAATCGAGAACCTTTGACCTAAAAAATTTGAGACTTAAATGTGTTTTTGAATAAAAACCATTTGTCTTTCATCTTCCGTTCCTCCACATATAATTGATAAAAATGAGTCTAGACCGAAAATCCCAATAGGTGTATGTCTTAACCGTTTTTATATTATATTCCGAAGTCAAAAGTATCACAGCGTTACCTTTGGACAAACAGTCCTGGCGAAAGCTGGAAGTTTCAGACCAGGGTCTTTTCTTGTGAGGATAATATTTTCACATATGAAGAGTCATTCTCAGCCTACACCAACCATTTTCAAGTGTAAGACTATGTC